AACGGCTGTCTCCTGCTGCTCATCCGCGTTCCGATCAGCAGTCTCCTGCTGCTGCTCCTCCGCGTTTCCAACAGCAGTCTCCTGCTGCTGCTCCTCCGCGTTTCCAACAGCAGTCTCCTGCTGCTGCTCCGCGTTTCCAACGGCTGTCTCCTGCTGCTCCTCCGCGTTTCCAACAGCAGTCTCCTGCTGCTGCTCCTCGGCCTCTGCTTCTGCTGCGGCCGCTACCTCGGGCTCATCGGCAACCTCAACCGCATCACCCCCATTATGCTTCTCCTCGCCGCCCTGCTTTTCCTCTCCCCCCGTTCTTGTTTCTGCCTCCCCGGCCATGGACTCTGCCGCTGCCACGTCCTTCCCCGAATCGCGTGCCTCCTGCGCCACACACTCCTCCGCGGTTGCAGCATCCGGAGGCGGAGGGGCGGGTGCCGCTGCCTCGACGGGGGCCTTCACGTCACCCTCCTCGTCTTCGTCCCCACACTTCTCGCTGGCGGCGGTGTCTGTCGTCGGCTTCACGACGTCGGCGGGCTTCGTGGCGCCCTTTGCCGACGACGCCGAAGAGGAGGAGGAGGAGGAGGACGAGGACGAACCGTCATCGTCGTCTTCGTCGTCGGTGAGGCCAATGTCGGCCGGGTTCAGCACTCTGCGTGACGAGAATGGGGCCGCCCGCCGCGGCGCCACCGGCTTCTGCGCGTGACTCTTCTCACTTTTCTCGTTTTCGTGGCGTTCAGACGGCGGCTGCTCGCTGGACTTATTGCCCTCGCTCTTCATCTCCCCTGCGTGATTGTCCTTGCTGCTGCCCCTCTTGTCGGTGTCCTTCTCGACGCTTTCATCGGCATTTTTTTTGCCTTCAGCACCGTCGTCGTCGGAGATGACGGCGTCAGCGCGCGCGCGAGGCGGTTGATTGGACGGAGCGGGTGCCACCGCTTCAACATTAGACGTGCTGCCACCAGCGCCCTCGCGTCGCCGTGCCGCCTCCATCCGCTCGCGTGCACGCTGCTCACGATCCTCCGCGGCCCGTGCGAGGCCCTCCCGCTCCTTCTCCAACACACGTTCGCTAAGGCGATGTCGCTCCTTCTTCGTCATTGCCATTAGCTCCACGTGCTTCCCCGCGATCAACTGGCGCAGTTGGGTTTCTGTATGATGCCGGTGGAGGCAATTGTTGCGGGAGCAGTAGTTGTGAATTAAGAAATGCGCACAGAGCTGCTGCTCAAAGAGTTCTACAGGCTTGCTGTGCTCCACCTCCGAGCCTTTGGTCTTGAGCATCAACACAATGCCCTCCTTGCAGAACACATACCTCGGATTCTTTGTGACAGGTGGTATCTCGTGCTCACGTAGCCACACTGTACAACGGGGCCCTGGCATTGTGGCGCACATCAATTTTTGCCGCGGGTCCATGTACATTTCCAAAATTTCGGGTGGGATAGGCGGAAGAGTCGGCAACGCCTCCGGCTGATCACGTACAGGCGCCTGAAACTGACCATGACCGTACATGCCTCGACTACCACCGCCTCTGCTCCCCATCATTGCCGGCGGCACCCTCCCCATGGCGGGCGCGCCAGGAAAAGAATTGGGAGCCGGCATCAACCCCGCACTGCGGCCTCCCATTTGCATCATAGGGTTGAAGTAATTGCCGTTATACCCCATCGCGGGAGCAGAGGGCAAGAGACCAGCATTGCTCATCATCATATTTCCACCGACCGGCGCATTACCACAACCCATCATCATACCGCGGTTGAAATTCATTGGCGGTGGTTGCTGAAGCGGAGAAGCATGCGGCGGCATCGACGAACGCTGCTGCTGTTGCTGCTGAAGAAGCTGCAGCAGCAGCGTCTGGTTCAGGTTTGTGCCGGCAGCGCTAAAAGCGGGATTCTGACGCGTTCCTAACGACTCCGCCATCCCTGCAATGCCCGTCATTAATTGTTGCTGTTGCTGCGGCTGTTGTGGCGCCTGCTGTTGCTGCGGCTGTACCGGCAACTGCTGCGGATTGTGGGTTGGAGGGGGTGGCTTGTTGGCATCGTAGCATCGCTTTAGCAGGAAATCCTGGTCTTCCATGCAAACACGACGAAACTCGTTCACGGCCGTGATGACATCTTCAGGGGTCTTGCCGCCTGGAATCATCGCCGCCGTGCTGGGGTCATTGACGATCTGGATGGGCATATCGAAGAGGTAGAAGGAGCGCGACAATTCACGCGGGGAGGCGAAGTTGAGGATCTGCACCGGCTTCGTTTCACCCGGTGCCGGCGTGTGCCCCGGCACCCACAGCGTGCGTCCTCCCGCGATGTAGAGGAAGATGCTGCTGCTCACCGCCATGCTCTAGAAGGCCAAAAGAAGGGACTTCCCCGCAGCCCATTCATCGTTGCCGCGCAGAAGAGTGGAAAGCAGAGACGTTGGGGACACAATAAGAACACAAATAACCCAGCAACAAGAAGTTAACATCTGCACTTATGCATACACGTATACACATCGTGGCATTGGGAGACGCCAACGCAGAAAAAGGACGGGGACTCCCCACCCCCTCCCCCCGGAAAAAAAAAACAAGGAAAAAAGAGAAAAAAAAAGAAACACAAAGAGACAGACGCAAACACGCACACACATAGAGTGAGTGATATATACCGCAAAATCAGATAAATAGACACTTCTTGTTGAGAAACAGCCACAGCAAAACAGAAGAGAAAAAAAAAAGTTTACCCTTTCGCGACCACCTCCCCCTCCGTTGTTTTCCGGTTAACAAAATTGCGCTCCTTCCCCATCCTCCCCAAGCCCCCAGACACACATAGATATATATATATATATATGCATGTACATATTGCGCAGCAGAACTGTTGTCTCTTTAAAAACTGTGTGCATCCTTGGTCAGGCTATCTTGCACAAGAAGGGGTTTTTCCTTCCTGCGTCTTGATTTGAGTCATAGCGTCAAAACATGCGCATCGTCAAGATATTTCCTGTTCATTACGTCATAGCCCCCGTAGATCAAAACCATTGGATACGGGTTCTGTGCTGTGGGTGGAAGCAACACCCCAGTTGTCATCGCCCGCCCACACGGCGTCGAATGCGGCGGCGCCACAGTTGTTTGTATTTGCCTCCAAGTGAGTGTTTTTAGCGACAACGCAAAAATGGGAAGCCGCCGTTGTTCCTTATATGACCCTATAACATGCATGTCATCATGCTGTCGCAAGGCAATATGCCCGGATCGGGGGACATCCGACCAAGGAAGGTTCGGTGAATCTGTTGAGGTGCGCAAACGACGCCAGGTGAATTCCAACGTGTCAAACTGATAGACATGTGGTGGCGCACCCCTCACGGAAGCCGTGGCGGCCGCCATACTGTTCCAACGACCCTCACCACCTCTGTCATCGCCAATCTGTGTGCCAGATAACGCGCGAATTCCACCGTACACAATAACGTAACGTCCCTTGTACTCCACAGCCGTGTGGTATGCCATTGGCAAGGTGCCACACACACTATCTTCTTCGTTGTCCCCATCCGCGTCCACCGTTGTCGTTGTTGCTGCTGCTGTTGCCCCTGTTACTCCTATATGTAGAAGAGACGACATTCCCTCCCCCTGCTGCTGCTGCCGCTGCTGCAAAGGAGACTGGGTCGGCTGAGGCGCTGCCACTATGGACCAGGTCAGCTCCATTCGGCTTATGTCGAGGTGCCCCTCAAAGACTTCCGCAAAGAGGCATCTGTTCGCGCCGAAAAGTCGCTTACCACCAATAAGAAAGAATCGTTTATTCACCTCTGTCACTGTATGACCAGAACGCGCCTCCACAAAGGCACCACGCACCCCCAACTGCACCCAGATGCCTCTTGTGAGATGATAAAGCCACACATCGTTCAAGTGAGAGTGAAGGTTGTTGCCGTAGAAGAGCAACAGGTAGCGACCTTGCAACAGCACCATCGCGTGTCCCGAGCGGGGTTCTGGCACGGAGACGTTGCCGCCTGCTCCATCAGACAAAGGCTCAATCAACTCATACCTGAGGCGCTGTGATCGCATAGGCGGTGCCTTGTTGTCGGCGACCACGGCCTCTTCCTCGTGCTCGTCCTCGGTGCTGTCAAATTCCAAGTGTAGACGATAGAAAGAGTTAAGAACCACTTCGTGTTCACCGCAACCCCCGAATAGGTAGACGTCTTCTTGCAAAGACACACATGTGGCGAAACAGCAGCCCCTAGGGGGACGTAACGAAGACGCTCCACTGTGCTCTGAGCCACCTGTCTCGCAATCACTGAGAGAGACTGGAACGAGTTCGCACTGTTGCCACTGAAACCGCGTTGTAGTGAGTTCTCTGACCAGCTCGTTCAAACCGTAATACCGCGCCTCATCCATTAACCGCTTGTGTTCAGTGGGGGGAAGTTGTGCAAGTCTGCGGTATTCCACACCACCCGGTGAGAGAGCTGCAGAGACACTCCCGGCTTCAAGGATTCGTTGCCGCCGCTCACGCAGCAAAAAAAGCAGCTCCCGGAAGAGCCAAGGGTCACGGTCCAAGAAGAGACATCCAAATGCATCTCTCTGCACCACAAACAGCTCATCCTCCAGAAGATGAAAGACTGTCAGGGTGAACTGAAGCAGGGTGTCCCGTTGCACATGGAAGCGCATGCCACCAATATTCAGCTTGATCGTGGGCGACAATGAGGCGGAGGCAACGAGTTCCGCGCGACGACGCAACGCGCGTTCTTGTTGCTCCATCCGCTGACGTTTCAACTGAAGTCGAAGATACGCTGAATGACTTGTACGCATATACGCCAATGCTGAACGCTGCAGGTGCTCGTATTGGCTGAGCAAATTCTCGATGAGGACCCCTCCATTGTCAGCGCCCTTATTATCGCCGCCACCATTTACGACTTCCTTGTTTTCCTCATTGACGCTCATTTGGTGTCCAGCGGGGCAAGCGCATCCTTGACTCCCCGGTTGCGGATGGTCTTCCAGTACGAGAGGCAGACCCTCGCCTCCCACCAACCCCGGCAACTCGTAGAGCCGAGTGTTCATCTTTTGCGTCCTTACTCTCTCCCACTCCGCTTCCTTTCCCTTCTTGCTTACCCCCGGCTGTTCTGTCACACCCTATGGCGGCTTGAATTCTGTTTTTTTTTTTTACCGTGTGCGTTTGTATGTGAGTGTTTGAGGCAAAAAAGAATACGAGACAAATGAAAGGAAACAGGGGAAGAGGACGGTGCAAATCCTTCACACTACCAATATGTAGATTCATTCAAGAAATTCACTTTGTACTTCTTTTTCCCCTTCGCGAGAGAGAGAGAGTGAGAGAGAGAAGGAACAGTGCAGCGGTGGCCGCAGACACCATTAACCCGCGGGAACTGCACACGGCGTTCCATGGATGGTCTACGCGTCCCCCCACCCCGCTTCCTCCAGGCCCCTTCTTCCTGATAAGCATGGGAGCCAATGGCGGGCTACGGTGCACCACCCGCTTCGTCACTCTTTTCTCCTTTTGCATTCTCCTCCTCTTCATTCTTTTCCTCGGCTATGCCACGTTGCCTCGTTTCCGCCGCCTGCAGTTGCATCTCCAGCAATTTTTCTTGCGCCTCCACCTGACGTCTCTTCAGTTCCCTCTCCTCTTCCGCCACGGCATCCAGTTCCTTGAGTCTTGTTTCGCGTCGCATGCGCAGTTGCATCTCAAACTCTAAGCAGTGCGCAACCGCCTCTCTCCCGCAGCGTTGAAGCAGCTGCAGCGTATCCTTCATTGGCAGCTTCATAAAAGTGAGGTGGTTAAACTCATAGTAAAGCCCCACGAGGGCATCCAGCTGTCGATGATGATAGTTCGCTACTTCCCGGTCATTTTTCTCCCCCGTTGACGTATCCACGGGAGCGGCGGCAGCGGACTGCAGACCTGCTTCACTCCCAGTGACCTGTTGAACCTGAGAGCCGTTAGGAGTCGCAGATGCCTCGGCGGCCCGACGCTCCTCAAACATTGCCCATAATTCTTTGTCCCCCTCTAAAGGGTGGGGATCATGTTCATTCTTCTTCCCCGCATTGCGGCCCTCGTTTGGCGCGACAACTGCCTCCTCACGCTTCTTTTGCATTCGTCGTCGCGCCGCGTCTATTCCTGCCGGTGGGTACACAATAATGGGGTTGCGCGCTATCATTGCGTGGAAACGCGGCAGTCCCTTCTCACCATAAACGACTTCTCTAAACCGCTCAATCCCGCGAATGTCACGGGGTCGCTTTTTCGCTGCCGCTACCGGGGCATTGCTTCTGTCGCCAGACTGCTGCTTCTGCTCTTGGCCGAAGCTGACCGCCCGCATGGTGGTTCCGCTCCCCCGTGGGTCTATGCTGAAGGGCTCGTGGGCCAAGTTCTCTCTATGCTTGAACATACCTCTTTTTTTTTATTTCGTTCCCGTGTGTGTGTGTGTGTGTGTGTTGTTTTAAAGTCTCCTCGTCTTTTCACCGCCTATCTGTCACGCAGAAAAAGACAGTATTTACTCGGCCTTCCTCTCCCAAGCCCAACTCCACATGCACCCCTTTTCTTCCTGTCTCTTCGCAGTAGCGTGCCAGGAAGGAAGGAACAAGGGCAACGCAAAGGAAAAAAAACCCAACGTAAAACAGCGAACACGTTTGCACGCAACAAGACACTTACAGTAAGACTTAAACGCAAACAAAAAAAAAAGTGGCAAATACACCGAAGCACCCAAAAACCACATTCATATTTTGAGAATCTGGCGCTACTTCTCAGAGCTCAAAGCGCTCAGCGGCTTTTTTACCACCAAAAAGATTGGCACGGAGCTGGCGAAAATTGAAGTCATCACTTGGTGAACGGTCAGCCTTTGCAAAGTGATACGGATCCTCTTCCCAGCGCTCGTAACGCCGAGCGTCGTTGTACCCGGCATCATACGCCTCAAGCAGTTCATCCTTTCGTGCAGCTCCGCCTATGCTTGGTGCGAAGGCAAGCCACACTTGACGCCAGTACGAGAAATGGGTATTGGCGAGAAAACCATGCCGCCCAAAGAATATGTTGTGTCGTGTTTGATGCCTGTTGTACGGATACCCCGCATAGCCGTGAATGTAAATGTGACGACAGTACTGGTCAAGTTCACTACTAAGCGACATCATTGTTCCCCGCATAACGTTATCTGCATCGCGAAAAATCATCGGTTTTTCCGTATTTGGAGCTGTAGCCGCCATAATGCATTGCGCCAGATCGTTCACATCTGTCCACTGTGCAATGTGGTGACCAAAGTGGAGATTCTCCTTCGTCTGTGTCATGTAGCCTGGATCCCTGTTTGAGAAACCAATGGTGAGGGCGAGACGTCCGTTTACAAGTTCCACCGCGTTGCGTGGAAGAAGTTTGTTGATGCACTCTGTGAATACCGCCACACGCGTTTCCTCGTCAGTCACCAAAAAACGGTTGTTCACGACGGTGTCACGAACCTTTTCAATATTGACATCCCTCGGCCCGCAGGCAAGCGCAATAGCCGGGATGACGCCTGTACCCGCCCCCAGCAGAAACGAATGCGCCAGGAACTCCGCCTTCTCCTGCTGCAAATAAAGCGCCACACCAAGCGCATATGTGACGAGAAATCCGCAACCACCGAAGCTCAGCACCGCCTTGGGGGCCGGCTTCCCCACCTCCAGAAGCACAGGTGTCTTGGACCGCACCTTCCTCGCCCACTCCTTCGGATCGGTCGGGGCCATTGTCCTTGCGGCTGATTGTCGCTTCTTCCCCGCTTTTGTGCCTCTCGCTGGTGCGCGTGTGTGCGTGCGTGTTTGTGCAGGATATGAGCCAACTATGCTTTTTCCACAGGTCGCGTGCCCTCAGACATCCAATTCACGCCGAAGACATAAGAACGCCGAAAAGAAGAAGCAATCCGCGAGCAACGGCATAAATTATGAGGTATGAAAAACAAAGGAGAAACAAGAAAGGCGTGAGCCCATTAAATTGAAGGCATATGTTGTTGAGAGGGAGAGAGAGATAAAGAGAGATTGAGGAAAGTAGGGTCTGTAGGGGGACGGATGAGGAGGGAAAAAATGATGGGGAGAAACACGTGCTGGGATGCACCCCAGACATGCACTTCAGCCATTTGCCCTTTGATTTCAGTCCCGCTCCTTTTTTTTCTTTTATACGCTTCTTATTTTACTCGCGTCTTTCCACAAAAACCTCAATTTTTGCTCGTCAGAATAAAAGTATATCCTCGCATTGTTACTATGGCTCAAAGGAGGCCGCTTTGGACCGCGTTTCCCGCAGCTTGACTCGATTGGGCGCCGACGGTTTCACAGGCTTCTGTGCGGCAACGGGATTCTCCTCCTCGTCGTCTAAACCGATGCTTGGCCCCATCACTAGTGAGCTGCTAATGTAAGAGGTGGTGATATTTGCACTCCTGATGGCATCCGCGAGCTTGCGGTCCCGCACCACAGCGCGCACGTACGACTTGCAAGCCATCCGAGGGTCCACCAAAGCGTCAAGGCAGATGCTCGGCGCCGGCGTAACGGCGGAGACGCTTCCGCCTCGCTCCTGCATCGGATGCTGCCGCGACTCCACTGTGTTTCCCGCCCAGGCGCTCTCCCCAGCGTTGCTGTCGGGCGCCGCCCCCGTCGAGGAAGCCTTGTCCACGTAATTGCCAGACATATCCATCATGCGGCCTTCCTCATCAAACATGTAGCGCCGACCCAGCCCCACCAAGAGGCGCTCACGGCGCCGCTGTTCCCTTTTCGCCAACCATGACGCATGTGGCATCAAGTAGTTGTAACGAAGTCCAAGCTGCTTCGCCTTCTTCGCCGCCTTTCTGACAACAAGCTTCTCCGCGATAAGGTCTATTGGGTGGGGCCCCTGCTGGTACCACTGCAGCTTCTCGTCCATAAGTGCATGTGGACGAAACTCGTCTTGGTGCCGCTCCGCTTCCTGCTGTTCTCGAGAAACCGTTAAGTGCAGAAACTGTCGCACCTCCTTCCGTGTCATTCCTTCCAATTTCAGGCCACGCTGCCTCGCCTCTGACAAGGTCCGCTCATGTTTGCTTAAGTGTGCCAGTGGATCATCTGACCGCTTCGCCTTTTGTAGTGCAAGTTTTTTTCGCCTTTCATCCTCCGCACGCTGCTTCGCGAGCCGCGCCGCCTTCTTCTCAGCAGGGGACGCAAACAAGTAAGAAAAATTGCACCCATCGCCGCGGCTGCTCGGTTCAGTCACCTCGAGATCCGCCGACTTCGGGAGGACGACACCTCCGCCCTTGCGTATCTCCTTCATGCTGACGCCAGACATGAAGCTCGACCACTCGCGACGCCAGGCGTTCTCGCCCTTCTCCACCTTCGCCGCGTAACGGCGTTTCGTCGCCGACGAAGCCGCATCTGCTTTTGGCATCTTTTGTTGTTGCTGTTGCTTTATTTTTTAACTATATTTCTTTCCTTTGCAGCGAGGCTCAGTCCAAGGAAATATCCTGCGGTGCGGCGCCTCCCAGCAGAATGCTCCCTCCACCCAACCAGCACCTCCTTCAATGGAGAAGCTCCACCTGGGCCCGCTTCTTAGAGAAGAGGCCACAACGTCCAGAGAGCGAGCGAGCGAGAGAGAGAGAGAGAAAAGAAATTGTATAAGGCAACAGCAATGTAGGAACACATACCATGGATAAAAATGAGTGCACAAAACAATAAAACCAAGTTTGACGGACCGCTCCTCCTCCGCCGTCACCCTACGCAAGGCGCACCCAATCACGGTATGGGATGCCAGGCACCATCCGCACCCAGCCACTGCTGGACCACCTACAACGGCCATACAGGAATAAACTATACTGTTGCCGCCCTTCACACGGTCGCGTCGCAGGCTGCATGCGTGGCACAAGGCTAAGTGGCAGCGGCTTAGTTCGGTCGCAATAGCCAAGTAAAAGACGGCGCCATCATTGCTCTTGAAGGAGCAAGCTCGTGGAACAATGCCGTGGTGCCCAGGCAACGGAATACCACAAAGGGCGCTAAACTCGAGGCGGAGGGTAAACGTCGCTGGCGCGCGTGGGTGGGGCGCTGCTGCCAGCCGCCTTCAGTGCCCCCCACCGCGGAGAGCGAGGGGCCGAGCGGTCAGGTCCCGCAGCGCGTCTCCAAGCGGCGCGTGGGCATTCACTGCGAGAAGGAAAAGGGGCACAACGAACCAACAAGGAGGAAGTGCAAGGAGCGTTCGTCCCGCCTGCCAGCGCGCGCCTCGCACTCCGGCCCCTCGGGGCGTAGCTTGGGCTGGATGCGCTGCGTCCAACAGAATCACCGCGCGTGGGTTCATGGGACCGCGCTTCTGTGTGTGCTCTGCCCAGCCCTCAAATGCAATGAATCCGGTGCCGACCACGGCCCGCGAGGGAGGGGGGCGCACCTGCCCCTCCACGAGTTTCCCATTATTTTATGGGCCTGTCTTTTGCTCCAGCTTCAAATGCCTCCACCGCGCGCTTTCAAGCCAACGAGAATGAATTCCTGCAGAAGACACCTGTCGCCGCCGCGACGCCGGGGAACGGGCCGGTGTACGCGGGCCCGGCGGCAGGGTGGTGCGGCGAAATGGATGAGGGGCCAGGGGGTTGTATGGAACTGCTCGCACGCGACTCACCTCGATCATGAACTAGGGGGAATTCCGTCCGTGCGCGTGTGTCTTCCCAAAGTGAAACAGGTAGCAGAGCAACGGC